TAATTTGAAAAGACATATGCACTCCTGTGTTCATTGCAGCATTATTTACAATAGCCAAGATAATGGAAGCAATCAAGTGTCTGTCAATAGATGATTGGATAATGGAGATTTGGTACATATATAATGGAATATTACTCAGCCATTAAAAAAATGAAATCTTACCATTTGTGACAACATGGGTGGACCTGGAAGGTATTATGCTAAGTCAGATAGAGAAAGACAAATACCATAGTGATCTCATTTATATGAATCTAAAGAACGAAATACATGAACAAACAAAGCAGAAACAAACTCATATATACAGATTAGAGATTGATGGTTGCCAGATGTGAAATGGGTTGGGGGTGGGAAAAAAGTGAAGGGATTAAAAAGTACAAATTGGTAGTTACAAAATAGTTGTGGGGATTTAAAATGCAGAATAGAGAATCTAGTCAAAAATGTTGTAATAACTATGTATAGTTTCAGATGAGTATTAAACTCATAGGGTGATCACTTCATAAGTTATATAAATGTCTAATCACTATGTTGTACACCTGAAACTAATATAATATTGTATGTGAACTGAAATTGAAAAAAAATATAGGCACCTTATAAAAAACGTGCAGTGCAGACATTGTCTTCATGGGCCTTGACTCAATAAACGTTTTTTGAGCGAACACCTTGGGGATCAGCTGACAAACTGTCCTTCTCCTCCCTTGGCCAACAGGACCCCAGAGAGATGCCCAGGCAGCTCGAGAATTCATCCTGAAGATGTTCGTGGACCTGAACCCAGACAGTGACAAAATTATCTACTCCCACTTCACATGCGCCACAGACACCGAGAACATCCGCTTTGTCTTCGCTGCCGTCAAGGACACCATCCTCCAGTTGAACCTGAAGGAGTATAATCTGGTCTAATTGTGCCTCCTCGACACTGCCCTTCCCTTCCTTGGTGGGCTATTGAAGCTATACAAGAGGGACTGTATTTCTGTGGAAAACAATTTGCATAATACTAATTTATTGCCGTCCTGGACTCTGTGTGAGTGTGTCCACAGAGTTTGTAGTAAATATTATGATTTTATTTAAACTATTCAGAGGAAAAACAGGCTGAAGTACAGTCCCAGCACATTTCCTCTCTATCTTTTTTTTTAGGCAAAACCTTGTGACTCAATGTATTTTAAATTCTC